AGAGCTGTGTATGCCCAGCGAGGTAACTCTTCTGCTTTAACTTCTTTAATCATTAAAAGAAAATCCAGGCTGCTTATTCTCCTGACTTTCTAACCCAACTTATACTATTCTAAGTATTTGTTTAATCTTAATTTTTAAATTGATGATATAAAGCTTTTGATGGAATTCGCTCTGCATCTTTTAAATCTCTGCTTTATCTATAACTACAGTTTTTTTCATTTTGAATACAACTTTTTCTTCTTTGTTTTTATTCTCATTAAAGACTTCCCAAAGAAACTATTTTTGGATTGGTTGATCTTTACTATTGCAATATTTTGTTGCTGATGTTGACTTGTGGGCTTATCTTTATTATTTATTTCTTCTCCAATTGGGCTAATTCCATTGTTCCTTTTCTTTTTTAACTTCTCATTTTGGAACCCTGATTTGTTAATTTCCAGCTATTTTTCTTTTTATGCATTTTCTATATTGTTATATTTAACAATTAAAATATTTTTTAAAACTGCCAGGGATTTAGCTCAGTGATTCCAGTGCCTGCCTTGCAAGTGCAAGGTCCCGAGTTCCAAACCGACCCCCCCCAAAAAATGAGACGACAATACGAGTAGACATTTAAGGAAAATACACAAATGGCCAACAAGCATACAAAATATTTTAAAAACTCCTCATATATTTAGAAATTTTAAAACATGCCCCGTAATAACCACAAGCTCAAAGAATATAATCATAATCGAATTTAAAGACTTACAATCTAATGATGATAGAAGGCATCAGAACTTGTGGAATATGGCAAAGTGACATTTTTAAAAAATCACAGTCATTTGAGGCTCTTTGTGCCATTAAGGCAACAGGCAGAGAAAAGGGTTGTTCTATTGTCCAGAGCGACAGGTTCCCACGGAGAGGAAACTAAATCACTACTACACAGAGAAGACACAACGTCTATGCCTGGAACCACGGCGATTCACACAGCTGCCTCTTGATATTTCCCGCCCCATGGAATACTGAGACAATCTGATGTAACAAGGACTCAAATCTCAAAGAAATAGTCTTGGGTGACTCCACTAAATAAAGACCCCGTTTGATGAATGTGCTGGCAAAAGTAGCTTGAATTCCCAACTTGGGACTGTAACAATTATGTGTATATTATTTAACTCATCACCTTCCCTGCTACTTTTGTAAAGAAAGCCCATAGCAGTTAATGCTTTAGTTTTCAGGTGAGAGTGTGTCTGTGTCAATATGACTGTAGAATGATTTTAGAGCTGATGGGACTTCCCATGATCCCTGTCTAAATTACACTGGTCATCTCAAGGGTATCCTCTCCTTCCAGGTGTTGTAAATACCCTCAATTTTTCTTTGCCCCACAGTCCTGTCTCTGGCATAGTAAAGTATTCCTTGTGATTTTCCTACATGTTGCTTATATCTTTATAAATAATCCCTTTATTAAGCCCTCTTTGAATTATTCTGGTCGGAGGACACCATATTGTTCCTAATGGTTATCTGGTGATGAATCAGGAAGAACGTGCTCGAACAGAAGCACACTCAGCCAATTGCCTTTTTAATGACTTCTTCCAGGCTTCTATAACATTGTCTTAGATTGCTATCTAAGTAGTCTGTTTCTAATTGGGTAATTTGCTGTTATCACCTGCTCATCATTAAGTGCTAATTGTTCAGGAAAGGTAATCAACTAATCACAACTTCCATATTATCAATTGGCATATTTTCATCTGCATTCATGTGTCATCATTATCAGCACAATTACTGGTTAACACTTATCTGCATTTACCAGCAACTTCCCCATCACGGAAAGAATGACTCAGTAGGTTAGTCACGGCATTGAACAATTCTGTTCATATCAGGTCCTCTAATTTATTTACACTTTCAGTTGATAAACTTTTTTGTGTAAGAATGAAGTTTTACATCATCATCTTCCTGTTAGTGACAAAATTTATTCTTCAACCCTTTATAGGCAAGGTTTTTTTGTTTTGTTTTGGTTTGGTTTGGTTTTTTTTTTTGCAAACATCATTGGAGCCAGAGTGTGTGTCAAGAATTTGTTAATGTTAATTTACCAGCATCATTCCAAACATTGGCAGTTGTGTATATGGCGTTGCCAAGCCTGGATTTCTCAGTCATGGTGTCTTGGACTCCGTGGTTGTAGCGGGAAGACGGTTTGAAAAAACTACTCTTCCTCTAAAATTCTTTGTACACAGGCAATAATACATATCCCCACTGGGGAGAAATAAAAGCCGAAACACTGCCTTTTACAAGAAGTTTAGGAAAGGGCTGTGCATAGCAGTTTTCCAGGTATGATAACATTTTACTGTTGTATTTTCCAGTCCAGAATGCCTACAATAAGTTTGTTCCACTGGTATAAAGTGGCCACTAATCAGTCAGAAAACACTTCTCTGGTTGCCCATACACCTCTTAAAGACCGTGGCTGGTGGCTTTTCCCAATTACTTTTCAATGTGCCCTTGCTTTTCAACAACCTACTCTCCTGAGAGCTAAGTCTTTTGAGACCCAACCCAGTCTGTGAGACCACACTAATCCATTCATGAGGTTGGAGACACCATGACTTAATTACCTTCCACTAGGGCCCATCTCTTAATGGTTTCACCCCATCAACATCATCACACTGGGGGCCAAGCTTCCAGTGCATGGGCCTTTATACAATCCCTATATCTGTGTGTGTGTGTGTGTGTGTGTGTGTGTGTGTGTGTGTGTGTGTGTGTGTGTGTAAGATTTGCCTGGTCATCTTCTTTTCCCCTTTTTTTTTTAGATCTCATTGTTCACATCTTTACACATTTTAGTCCTGTAGTTTAACATTCTGTAGTCACTGGGCTCTAAAGCTGTCACTGACCTTCTCATTCACAGAGATTTGTTGGTCTTCGACTGTCAGACTTTTTTTTTTACTCTTACTCTGAGTGATTCCTATCAGCCTACACTGGGGACATTTTAGTCCGGAGGAGACTTCCTTCTCTTCTCTTTGGAGCTAGAAATGCCTCTCTCCCAGAAACGCCCTCCAGCTCTCACTCCAGGGACTTGGCCTGCCACAGAAGCCCCAGCCTGACCTCCCCATGCACAATCTCTCAGGCTCTGTCTCTGACAGCAGCGTGGTCTTTATTTTTCAGAACAGCAGCCCACTGCTATGGATTTGTGGTTTAAATGTCCTCCCCAAATCTCATGTGTTCAGAGGTGAGGCTTTGGGAGGTGGTTAGAACATGGGAGCACTAACCTCATCAATGGATTAACCCATGGATGAATTCATAGCTGAATGTGCTAGGAGGTAGAGCCCAGTTTGAGCAATTAAGTCACTGAGTGCGTCCATGAAAGTCATACCCTGTCCCTTTCTTTCCCCTTCTTCTATGGCTCTTCCACACTCTGCTGCTGGCTACTGTGAGCTGAGCAGCCTTCCTCCTCCATTCCCTTCTGTCATGATGTTTCTGCCTTGGAGCCAGCTGACCTTGGACTGAAACCTCTGAAATCATGAACCACACTAAGTTCTTCCTCTTTTTTTTTTTTTTGTACCGGGGATCGAACTCAGGTCCTTTCGCTTGCGCAGCAGGTGAAGAAACCACTGAGCTAAATCTCCAGCCCAGTTCTTCCTCTTTTAATCTGGGTATGTCAGGCATTTTGTCCCAGTGATGAGAAGCTCCCCAGTACAGATCTCTGTCCTACAAGGGAGCTAGAATCCAGTGTTCTTGTGGCAGAGCTTTTGCCCTTCTAGTGGGATCTGGGTAGGCAAAGAAGTGTTACGGGTTGAGTTGTAATTAAGTTAAAATTGGGTCATTAGGATGGGCCCTAGTTCCATACTACTGGTATCCTTGTAAAAAGGGACTGAGGCACACAGAGAGAAGGTGGTATGAAGACACAGGGGAGAAATCAGTGTGAAGACAGAGTGATGCTTCGGAATTTCAAAGATGGTGGGCAAACCATTGGGTGCTGGAAAGAAACAAGGATGGATTTCCCTACAGGTTTCATGGGGAAAGGCCCCTGTGAACACCATGGTCTCAGACTTTTACCAACGCCCCCCAGAACTGTGAGATAATAAATCTCTATTGTATAAGCCTGTGTTTCAAGGTACTTTGTCATGGCAGCTCTAGGAAACTCGACCTTCTCAGCCAGGATTGCTGGAATAGCACCTCCGTGACCCAGATGTGGGAGATCCCAGCACCTTGTATATTCTGGGGTGAAACCACAGAGACAAGGAGCCAAGGGGAGAGGAAGCCCTATCTTCTTATTTGCATCCATCCAGAGCAGTGTCTGGAGTAGTTTCCATCTCAAGGAGCCAAGTCAGGGGTGGAAACATGCTGGGGCTCATGTGCCATACACTCAGCTCTTCTCATTGAGATTAAGTGATCTTCCCCCAATAAATCGTCCTCCAACTGCCGTATGCTCTAGAGACTTCAAATGGCTGGCCATAGGTGTTTTCATCTGTTAAATGGGTACTTCACCAGGGAGAGGGTCCCTCACATTCCTCACACCACCATTCTGGAAGAGAAACCTGCCGAACTCTGACAGTTTTGGGTGGAAGGAGCTTCAGCTCCCAGAAGACCTTGTGACTCCGCCTCCTCCTCGTCTCTGTCAAGATCGAAGCACTTGCTCACCTCTATCCCTACCCCCATTTGCAGGAGTGACAACTGGCACCAAGAACCAACTCTCTTCCTCTCCTCTGCCAGGCAAGGGCACCAAGAGGGCAGAGGGAGTCCCGACCTCATCACACAGCAAGGACTGGGCATCAGTGGGACCCTAGGGGCCCAGAAGCAGACAGCCAATCCCAGGAAAAGGGGGAGGGGGGAGGGGCAAAGGGGCAAAGAGAAAGCAGGTAGCAGAATGGGTGTGACTGGATTTCTCTACATATAGACAGGGCGTGGGAATAGATGGATTAGAGGCTCAAGCCAGGGCTCCCTGCCAGATACAGTTGACAATGGTATTTTAATCCTCCTCTCTCTCTCTCTCTCTCTCTCTCTCTCTCTCTCCCCAAATAAATAACTTCCTCAGTCTGGCCCTGTGAGATGAAAAGGTTTATTTAATTCAGAGATAAGTGTAGAAACAGACAACCCACAATCAAGCCCAGGGGATCCATAGCCTCTGAACCTGGAAGTCTTCCTAGTCCCCCCCTTCAAAAGGTCCTCATCTCCAAATGGCTCAGGGCATCGTGTTGTAGACACTGTAGTTGTCCTGCTGGGTGACATGCAGCTTCCAGGAGAAGAGACGCTTCTGGGTGGGAATGCCTTGTGCCTGCCTCACCATGAGCCCCACGTCCTCATCTGACAGCAGCCGAACCAGGTCCCCCTCTGCATCCCGGTAATTGAGGGCGATGTCTTCCCTCTGGAACTCCCGCCTGGGTGGGAAAAGTGAGGGTTAACCCAAGGCCTGAGGAGAGGAACCCAGAGGCCTTGGGCCTATACAGAGAGGCAGGGAGATGCTTGTAGCCTGGATCTGAGAACCAGAGGAGGTCAGAGCTTGATACAGGCCCTCAGCATCCAAGAAGAGCTCCTTCCTGCTATACAGATGGGGAAACAGATCTAGAGGGGAGAAGGGATTTTCACAATAAATACAGGCAGAGCCTGAACGTCCTGCACATGATTTTCACACAAGGAAGAGGAATGGCTTGGGAGGGCAGAGAGTAGAGCAGAGAAAGCTAGGGGTGGGAGGCAGAGAGAAACAGAGAGACAGAGATGGAGAGAGACAGAGACAGAGAAGCAGAGGCCTGTGTGAGCTGTGGGGGAGGAAAGGCACCTGGAGAGGACAGGGATGTCTGATGTGGGCTGCAGGGCCTGGGTATCCTTCCCCCTGGTGGCAGAAGTAAAACTTGATCTGAACTCTTTATAGGAAATTTGACCCAGTGGGTGCCGTTGCAAATACCTCGATCCCTGCATTCCACTTCTGGATAATGATCCCAAGAGAATAATCAGACAGGTCGTCAAATAATGGGACAAAGATGCTCCCACATTTGTTTATAGTAGTATCACAGTGGGAGATGACTAGGTGGTCAACAAAAAAGTCACGGTCGCCTTAATTCTAGTGTATCCACCAAACAACGCATGTGAGTATTCGTGTGCGTGTGTGCGCGTGTGCCTGTGTGCATGTGTGTAACCACACTACTACTGCTCCATAGAATAGCTACTCAGTGATGACCTAGATCTGGAGGAGTAGTGAGTTCCCTGACAGTAGAGTGTTCAAGTTCAGGGCTGTTAGCTAGAGAGACTTCAGTTCTAGTGAGAACCTATGGTCACACAGTGTGTAACCTGAGCCAGTCCCTTTGCCCCTCTGTTCCCATCTTCTGACTCCTCTCTCACCTGGGAGACAATGACCAGGCTGCAGGGCCCTGAGCACAGCAAGAGGGCAAGATGGACTCAGACCCCTGCACCCCAGGGGGCAGCAGCGCTCCTCAGTCTGATCTTCAGGCAGCTGACCACTCTGAACACTGCTCCGGGCCCCTTACCTCATCAGCTCCAGCAGGTCTTTGAACAGTGGAGTGCTGTTGAGGTCCTCCTCCACTGCGATGTCCCTAAGGGCAACAGGCAGGGGAGAGGGGCATCAGGCCAGGCGGGGACATAGGTCAGGGCAAGGCCTGGGAATGAGGCTGGACTGATCTGGAAGACAGTGGGAGCCACAGCAGGCTTTGGAGTGGTCAGGGGACAACATGGGAGTGTAGAAAGGGGCATGGAAGGGTGGCTGGAGAGTGGCCCAGCCCCTTCTCCCAGCCAGCCACGAACTTGATGGTGCTGATCGTGTCTTCATAGTAGTAGCAGCGCAGCCAGTTGGTGGGGTCGTCCTCCTCAGGAAAGTCCTTGAGGATCTTCACAAAGGAGACTGGGAAGATGCCTGTGGCTCCCTTGGCAGTGCCCTAAGGAGAGGAAGAAGGGACACCTGGTGTGCAGAGGTGGGGGCTCAGGGCCAAGGCTTAGAGCCCCAGCCCCTTCATAATGATGAGGAAAGCAGATGACATCCCGGTCCCCTCAAACAAGTGCTATAGTCTGGGTCTGAATGTCCCCAGATTCCTGTGTATTTAAGGCTCGGTCTCCAGGATGATGGTGGTGGTGCCCAGGGGGTGGACCCTTTAAGAGGTGGGGCCTGACATCAGGTCTTTAGATCACTGAGTACCCTCGAAGGTGATAGTGCGACCATGGTCCCTTACTCATTCATTCATTCACTCATGCATTCAACCAAGACTTCCTGAGCACCATCTATGTCCAGGCTCTGGGCACTCAAGGTAGATCAGCGTCTGTGCCAGCAAGGGGCACCTGTTACAATGGAAGATGGCACATAGGTGACTGTATAGAGACCACATGGTGGCAGGTGTGATGGAGGGAGACAGGACAGAAGAGGGAGAGTGTCATGGGTGTGGAGGGGCCTGCTGGTGACTCCCACTCCTTCATTCATTCCCCCAGACACAACCACGCCCCTATGGCAACTGATCAGCCAGAAATCTTTCCCTCCAGCCCAGGCCTCTCTCCCTGCCTGCTCAGTCGGCAGGTAGTGACTCCACCTTTCCGACACCAGGATGGAAGACGCCTTCTCACAGCCTATTGCAGACCCATACACTGAGACCCACAGTGGCCGCTTCCTGCTCCCCTGACCCCTGCAACCTGAGCCCAAAAGGTGACCAGTATCCTGACATATAGGACTTTCCAGAAAACAGGAAGGCAGTAGCATTTCCTCTTTCTGCAGAGTGACCACAGCCGGGCCTCTGGTGGTCATGAAAGCAGCTGGGTTCTTGCAATGGAGCTCCAGGCCCCTACACCAGATGCCTCTTTTCCTCTCCAGCCTCTGGACACCAGCGACCCCACCCTACCCCTCAGTGGTAATAATCCCAGGATCCCTGGAACTGGTCCTGCCTCAGCCTGTCCTAGAACCTCCTTCAGACACAGCCCAGGGGCACTGAGCAGAGAGTATCTCTTTAATAACAATGAGATCTGATACAAAAGGCCAAGGCTTCTGCATTGTGGCCCCCTCTGTCCTCTCACTGAGTCATTATGGGTCCCTTCTAGAACCATGCTGGGACAAAGCAAAGACTAGAACAGGCCCCAGTTTCCTAGTTTTATCAAAGTCACCCCAGGACCCTTGCACCTGCCAGGCACCAGGTATCCAGGCTCTGTGTGAACGAGCCCTGTGCATCAGCCTCCCCTTACCCCTCTAGGAAGCTGGGAAGAACCTGTCAGTGCTGTCTCCACTCACAGGAAAGGACACTGAGGGGCCAGGCAAGTTCCTAAAGGTCCACAAGGCTACTTCACAACAGAGCTAGGAGCCAGGGATGGTGGCACATGCTTGTAGTCTGGGCCACTTGGGAGGCTGAGGTGGGAGGATCACTTGAGCCTATGAGTTCCAGACCAAACTGGGCAACCTAGCAAGACCCTCAAAAACAAAACAAATGAGCAGAGCAGCAAAAACAGAGCTAGGAAAAGACCCATGCAGGCGGATTCTAGGGCTCATGCTCTTAATTGCAATCTTTTTGTGACCTACAAGGTGAGTAATGTTATCCCGCATCACAGACCAGGGACTCCCCACTGTGGGTGATTTTGTCCCCAGGAGCAAATTCCGGAGATCTGTATGACTGTGGCAACTGAGGGGTGCTACTGGCACCTAGTGGGGAGGGCAGGGATGCGGCTGAGAACCCCAGGTTGTACAGGACCCTCCCCGCCAAGAACTGTCCGGCTCCAAAGGTCAAGAGTGCCGTTGCCAGGAGACCAAGAAATAAACTCAAGAGGTGCACGTCTGGGTCCAAGGGACATGAGCTTTGGAGCCAGAACCAAAGGAAAGGTCGTAGACTCCAGAATCTTCTCTGTTCACCACACGCTTCTCTCCCTAGGGCCCGGATGCCTGCAGGTTCCCCAAAGCTGGGACGTCACCACCAAGTGTCTTCCTTAAGGCCTTCCCTGGCCTTCCTAAGTGTCTCTGGCCCTGCCAAACCCTCCTAAAATGTTTTCACCTCCATCCTCACCTCTGTTCTCCCTTCTTCACCCTACCCTTAACTCATCTTCAATCCATCCTCACCTCCCACTCACCTCCAGCCAGTCTTTGTTGACCCGACTGAGAAGGAATATCACATCTCCAGCTTTGAAATTCAGCTCCAGTTTGCTGTTTCCAGTGAAATCGAACAGGGCCTGGGGAGAAGAGCAGGGCGTGGAGGAGGAGACATTTACCAAGCTCTTGCTGAAGCCCCTTACATCCTTTTTTTTTTTTTTGGTACCGGGAATCGAACTTGGGTCCTTGCGCTTGCGCAGCAGGCGGCAGAACCACTGAGCTAAATCCCCGGGCCCTCTTTACATCCTTTTGTATCCTGTTTTACCAGTGAGGAAGCTGAGACTCAGGCAGGATGACTCCCTTGTCTGAGGCTTTTCCATTTGTTAATGGAGGAGCCCTGGCCCTGGATGGGTGCTGCTTGGAGCACAGTGGGATGGGGTGGGGGGGTCCGGATGCTCTGGACAGAGCTGGTTCTAAGCCCCCACCCGCCTTCCCCTGACCCACTTGCACTGCCCACACCATCTGTACAAATGTCCCCAGCACACTGTGAGCTGATGGGACAGAGTCTTATCTGAGTCACCTCTGAGACTTCAGTCCTCATGGCAAGGCCGACCCTGAGGTGACCCAGGCAGGCTGTCTGGGTGAGTGAAAGATGGACGGATGCCCTCTCCCCTTCCCCTGCCTGCTGGTCTTTGCTCTTCCCTCAGCGGGATGGAGGCTCCAGGTGTCCAAGAATGGCCTGTGGCCTCTCATCCGCCACCACCTGCACCATGGTGGGGGTACCTCTGCACGCGGAGCTGCCAGGTGGTCAAAGCTGGTGCCTTGTGGGGACATGTTCTTGCTGTGGAGAGAGAGGAGGGGCTCGTCAGCCTCCCAGTGCTCCTCTCTCTGTGCTCGGAGGGGCGCTGGCAGGGGCAGGACAGGCAGGGAGGGAGAGGACATTAAAGTGCAGGACGGTTGCTCCCTGCAAGAACTGTCCTTACCCTGTGCTTCTCCTGTCACTCTCCAAGTACCCTGGAGGTGGAACTTTCTCCCCTCTATGGCCCCGGAAGAGAGGCTCAGAGAGGGCTGGGAAGAGGATGAGGATGAAAACCCTTCCCTTCGTGCCCTCAATTCATGGAGCCTGCAGCACTGTTCTTTCTCTTGCTCCTGACAGCTACCATCAGCTAAATTTTTTAGCTGGGGAAACAAAGGCTTGGAGATGTGACAGGCCCTGCTCCATGAGACACAGCTGGGGTTCAGACCATGCCAGCCTGGGGACACAGGGGCGATGCCAGGTGCTGAGCGAGAGCAGGAGACGCTGGCTGGAGCGAAGAGGAGAGTTGGAGGCAGGCTGGGCTCGGGGCAGGGCCCTGTCCTGCCTTTCTGGTTTGTTTGTTGAGACAAGGTCTCCCTCAGTCATCAGGCTGGCTTCAAAATCACAATCCTCCTGCCTCTGCCTCACGAGTGCTGGGATTGCTGGTGTGGAAACTGTGCCGGCCTCTTCCCTGGAATTCTTACAGGCAGCAGACTTGGCTTTGGAAGTTTGGGTGGCTGAAGTCAGTGGCACTTTCTGCTTGGAGAGGGGCAGGAAGGGAGTGGGGGGCTTTTGCCTCTTGGCATTAGGGAGCAGCAGTGTCCCCTGATAGGAGAGCCAGGCCATAGCTGGCCCCAGGGAACCCTAACACCAGGGGCAGAGTCAGGAGGGGCAGTTTGCATCGAGTCTCTCTTCTCTCTGCCAGCTCCTCCTCTTTCCAGGAAGCCAGAGCTCTTGAGCAACCCCCAGCGGTTGCTGTGGCACCAGACCCTTCTGGGCCACCGTCCTGGTCTCCATCCTCCAGGCCTGACCATCACACAGCAAAACAGACTCCCTGTGGCCCCAAATGTGGTTCTCCAGACTCATCCAATGGCCGAACTGTGCAGGAGCATCCAGGAGCAGAACTGGCCCTACTCCCTCTCCCCTTCCGAGGGCGAGGGCGGGAGGCACCCACCCAGTGCAGACACTCACACTTTCCGGGTGCGAGGGCGGAGCCGGCGGAGTGCCTGCGGCACCTGCTCCGAGTCGTAGGGCGACTGGTAAAAGAAGATCCTGATGTCGGCGTCCATCAGCACCCAGACTGGCAGACTGAGGAGGTTCTGTAGGGCAAGGGATTGGGACAGGGGGTCAGCAGAAAGATCGGGAATCCCAGTCCAGCTGTCCCAACTCGGTCCTCTGATGCTAGCCTCCCATCGCCACAAATGTATCTTATGCCTGATGCTAGAAATCAGTTTCTTTCTGAAACTCAGCCGGCTGGAGGTAACATTTCACAACTTTGCTCCTGGCACCAGGTCAGCAGGGGGACCCCTGGCGTGAGGGAAGTTTATTTGGAAACACCTAAACGTCCCTAGAAACAATGACAATGGTAAGGATGAGGACCATGATCTGGTGCTGACTGTGCCAGCCACTGAGCTGAGCACCATGCATGTAACCTCTGTCTGTCTCATCACAATCCATTATTTAGGATCAGAGAGGGAAGGGACCCGCCTAAGGCCACACAGGCTAGAAAGTGAAAGAGCCAGGGCACCCAGAGCCATCGGCTGCTGAAGCCCACCTCTTAGTTCCCCAAATAACCAAAATAACAACAGAGGGTGGCACTGCAGCCTACAAAATGCTTCCTGACACTTTCATCTCACAGTTGGGGAAACTGAGGCCCAAAGAGCCAAGGTGCCTGACTCAGGGGCAGAGCTGGAAAGTGCCAGGGCGGGAACATGAGCCCCAGCCTCCTCACTCCACCTGTGCTGGATATGCTCACCACGACTCGAAGCCCCCCGACACTGTGAGGTTGTGGAGCCCCACCGTGCCCTCCACTGCCCCCGTCCCAGGTGTCCAGGGGAGGGCTTGGAGGCCACAGCACTAGAGACGCCCAGAGCTCTGTGAGAATCCCGCAGGGGCTGCAGGATGGGGGGATCACCCCAGAAGCACTGGGGCTCTGGAGCCTCTAAAGACTGGCCTGAGACCCAGGGAGGGGAGGGGCATAGGGAGCCTGCTGATCCTGGGATGGATCCCAGCGCTGCCGCTCACCTACCGGTTCATTAATAATGGGGACAAGTATAGTCTCTTCCCGGTGGGGCTATGTGGGGATTAATAGCTAACTAGTGCTCACTTCCAGGCATGTAGACAGCACCCATCAAAGCAGGACATTCTCATTTTTGCGGTGCCTTTATTATGCCCCAGCTCACTGAGTAAGAGCCAAACCCTGGAGTTGCAGTTTGGCTCAAGTCCCACCCCTCCTACCCAACTGCCCTGTGACACCCGGTAGCTTCACCCCTCGTTGCCTCTTCCCCGGATTTGTAAATGGGGATCATAGTAGCTAACTCACAAGTTACGGAGGGGATTAAATAAAATGATCCATTTACCCCACAAAGGTATATCAAGAGCCTCCTGCTTGCCAAAGCGTCGTGACCACATGACTCATGTTCCTCATGAGGTCGGAGTAAGACCAGGGGTGAGATTTATAAGGAAACGGGCTTTACGAGTGGCTATCCAACAGGGGAACAAGCAGGCTCAACCCGGGCAGACTGGTAGTGAGGCCCCTGTCTCTGAAGGTGTGCAAGTACAGAATGGCATGGCTATAGCAGAGATCACTGCACTGAAGACCTCTGGCTTTCAGGACCCCAATCACACCGACAGAGAGGGGATCACCTGAGAGGCTGGTTGCTAAGATTGGCTGTGAGGTAGGGACCTCTAGCTTGGCAGCCTCTCCTCCTCCAGTCTGCTCCTCCATCCAGAGCTTCACCCCTCTACCGGCCCAGCAGGAGACTAGAGCCTCAGCCACCAGCCGTGGTCACAGCGCCCCCTTGAGGGCAGCGCCCCCAGTGCTGGAGCCAGCTGGCTTCCCTCCCTCTTCCCTGTTCAGACCTCAGCATTCCTGCAGCCACTGCGGCTCCCCATCCTCCGCCCTGTCACAATCAGATTCAAGCTTACGAAGCACTTTCCCCTGCTTTTCTCCACAGATCCTAACCAGAGGCGGGAGGTGCTGGCCCAGCTTGCAGGTGAGAAAACCAAAACCTCCCTAGAGAAGAGGGTCAAGTCACCCCACGTTACCCAGCCGTCCATGTCAGAGCCACGACGAAAGACTCCTGATTCAGTGCTCTTCAGTTGTGAGGACACCTGGAAGCTATGAGGACAGCTTCTCTCTCAGGCCATGGCCCGAATGCTGCTAGTGACCGGGTGCTCACGACCTCATGAGCAACACCGTCCTTTCCCTCTTGGCTCAGAGTCCTGGAAGACCTTGGCCTCTGCCTTTAGCAAGCTTCTCCCGCTGTGTCCCATTTCATAGGGATGCAGGTGGGTTGAAGGTTGGGGAACACACAAGGGTGTCCAAACAGAACAGAGAGCACAGCTAAAATCCAGCCTGAGCTCAGGCGAGGGGCTGTGTCAGCCCAGGGGGAACCTTCCTTCCCTAGTTTGCACAAAGAGCTGCATGAGTAGGCGTGGCCTGGACTGTCCTGCCCCTGACGTGGCATATCCATGCTCCCATGTGATTTCCCACTCCACCCATCACTGTTCCCACTGGGCACCTTGGGGCAAGCATTGGATCTCACCACTGTTTGCTCACAGTGGCACAGCGCCTCACCTGTGGGCTTGAACTGCTAACTGAAGATTTGTCCATGCAAAGCATGGCTCTCTGTACCTTTCCCTTGTTCCTGGCCCAATCCATAGAGCCCTAAATACTCATCCAGCTTCTGTCCCCAAGCCAGGCCCTCAGACTGAAGATGGGACCATTCGAGCCAGATAGCCAGCTGCTTCCCACATCATGCCAGGGTGGTGCCTTCCCCAGCATACAAGCAGTGCCCTCCCCAGCTCAGGCCACAGGCTACAGATACCTTCATGTAGGCATTGAGGGCCGGAATCCGCATCTCTGCTATCTCCTGCTTCACGCCCATGTAGACTTTGGCTAAGGAGAGGAGAGCTGTACTTAGAGCCATCCTTGGAGTGCCTGGCCCCATCCCACTGGCTCGGAGAGCTTCCCTTTATCTTTCCATGGCAATGAGGCGGCAGGTCTGGCACTGGACCACCACCCAACTGCATTCCTCTGACCTGCACCATAGACTGCTGACATCCATCCAGTTTATTCTTGTGTGTGTGCATGCATGGGTGCATGCACACACACACGCACACACTTCTGAGTTCCAAGGGAACAGGATCTTTGCCTGCTCTGCCCATAGCTGTAACCCTAATCACCTAGGACAGGGTGCTAGAGGAGAAGTCGCTTCCCATGGGTGAGCCCTCTCCTCACTTGCAGCCCAAGGTAGAGGGGAAATGAGATGCTGGGGCTGAATGTGGTCATTGGCTGAGAGATAGATAGATAGATAGATAGATAGATAGATAGATAGATAATGGATGATTTAGTGAGTTTGTGCACAGTGGGGGATGGGGCTGGATTGGGAAGAAGGGAAAGTCAGGTGGGGTCTCAGAGGCTTGGGGAGGGTGACGAGTGGTGCCCAGGCCTGTCCTGCAGAACATGGAGCACCTGCTGAGCCCACCCCACTAACCCACTGGTGCTGCGTTTTCTTTTAGGGGTCAAATAGCAGTGCGAGAGCTGCAGCCAGAGGGTTTTGGAGCTGTCCAAGGTATGAACTAGGACAGAGGTGAGCAGGAAGGGAGGGCAGGCTGTGGGTGAGGGGACTGTCCCCAAGCAGGACCATGGTGCCCCACTTCCCCGAGGGTCAGGGAAGGCAGGTGAGCTGCAGGCCAGTGTGGAAGCAGAGGAGCTAGAGAGCGGCTGCAAGTGTACTGTGTGCTTAAGGGGGAGGGGGAGGATTCCTGTCCCCAGGCAGAGGGGACGGATGCGGCCGTGCTCCCTGCCATGGCCTCCGGGAAGGTGGGTGGCTGAATCAGAGAGGCTGAGAAAAGTCATCAGGGGCTGGGCGTGGCAGTGCACACCTGTAATCCCAGCAGTCTGGGAGACAGGCAGGAGGATCAGTTCAAGCCCAACCTCAGCAATTTCGTGCCTTAGCAAGGCCTTGTCTCCAAATTTTTCAAACAATTATTTCAAGGACTGGGGATGTAGCACAGTGGGAATCCCCTGGGTCTTGGGTTTAACCCCCAGTATCACAGAAAAATTAAAAAGAAGAAAAAGCCACCAGGGGTCAAGAGCTCCAAGGTGGAGTCCTGGAAGACACAGAAGTGGTGGCAGAGGGAGGGTTAATGGTTGTGACCGCCAGGAGGGCATCACGGGCCAAAGCAATGGTTTCCAGGTGGGCTGAAATGAAAGCACTGTGCTGTGAGGGGGCTGGCGGGTGGGGCTGGCACCGCCACCTGGGAGCACCGGCAGGCTGCAGGTGGTTGGGCTGCTCTTGTTCTCAGGCCCATAGCGCTCCTCCAGCTTGCTCTGCAGGGCGTAGAACTGGCGGTAGCGTCGGTAGATGAGGTACTTGGATCCTCCTTTTGTCTTGACCTCGATGACAAAAACCTAGGAGGATGGAGGCAGGAGGGCAGGGGGGCTCCAGTCAGAGCAGAGCTGGAAGGCAGAGGCTGGAGGCTCAGAGGTCACAGAGAGAGTGGGCCCCACCCCCAGCACTGCACCGGGCAGTAACTCCACCGAGTGGCCTGTGTGCTGCAGTGTGTGTAGCGGCAGCACTGAACCCTCTCCCCAACCCCTGCATTTCCCCCACTTCCTGCAGGGTCTCCCTGGGTCCCCTACAGATGCCTTCCGATACCTCCCTGATTCCCCACCTGATCCCCCTGGGTTCTCCGCCTGGACCCTCACCACGGATCCCCCAAATCCTCCTCCTGGACCCTCCCTCTGAGCTCTCCCTATCACACCACAAACCCTCCCAGGTCCTCCCTCTGTTCCTTCCTACTAGACACCACCAGCAGGCCCATCCCAAGCGGCAGCGGTGAGAATGTCTCAGGGTATTGGCCGATGACCCCCAAGGGGCAAATCGGCCCCATTGAAAATGGAGAGATAGAAGTTAAGAGACAAAGAGTTGGAGGCTCAGAGGCCAGAGGGCAGAGGGGTAGGGGTCACTCTCACAAAGTGGCTGGTGAAGCCCCTCTTCTCCTCAATGTCGGCGATGTTGGCTGATATGGCCACGTCATCTGGAAGCTGCTCGAAGTCGCTAGGGAAGGAAGAGGGAAGGACCCTGGTTAACACTGCTGAGCTCCAGGCCTGCTGGGTGTGAGGCCAGATGCCAAGAAGGCTGATGGGGTACCCCGGATTCCTCATTGGCACCCTTCCCTGAGCCAGACACCCATGGGTGCTGGGAATGCAGAGATGACAAACGCAGAGCAGGCCTGAGGGCGTGAAGATGAGGAACAGGCGGCGCTGGCCAGATGGTCTCCGGGATAAGCAAGGCCACAGCCACCCTGGACAGAGTACCCTAAGCGCCTGCTGTGGTCTGGAGGAGCCCCCTAAAGGGGTACATGTTAAAGACATTGTTCCCAGAGTGGTGCTCCTGGGAGGTGCTGTGGATACTCAGGAGGCAGAGCCTTGGTGGAGGTCCTTAGGTCACTGGGGGCATGACCTTGAAGGGGACCCTGTTCATCCTGAGTCTCTGCTGACAGCTGGCCCATGATATAAGTGGTCCGGGCTGCCATGATGTACTGCCCTCACCAGAGGCCCAGAGCAACGAGGCCACCCAAGCTCAGACTGGAACCTCCAGCACCATGAGCCTAAATAAGCTGGCTATCCTTACAATCTATTTGCCTCAGCCATTGTATCACAGTAACACGAAGCTGACCCACACAGAGCCCCACACAGAGCCCCACACAGAGATGGCTGATTATACCAGCAGCAGCACCCTTAGCAGACTATTAGTATTTGCTGTGTCCCTGCTTCTTCCTGGCTAAGTGGCAGCTCTGTTCAAAGTGTCCATGTGCCTAGACCGGAGGTTGTTCTGGAATTGCAGAAAGAAATGTAAGGAGACACAGAATTGGGGTAAAATAATAAAATTTCTTCTCACGAGCGGGCAGGAACTCCAGAAACTGGCCTGGTAAGTGTTCATGCCCTCTTTGCTCATCATTTCCCTTTTTGTATCCTTTTTAGCCATTATCTCATCCCTAGTGGTCTTTGATGTGTAAGTACAATTCCAGTTCCTATTTACAAGTCACAGACACAAGATAGGCCATATACATTGTAAATTCACCCTGGCATTGCAACTTTGTTAGGCTAATGAAGTTACTGGTTAAAGAGTCAGATTACCTTCACCTTAAACAAGGAGAGTTGTGGGAAAAGCAAATCTTAAAAGACCACATGACTTGTTTTGCTTCTACAACTACCTTAATATTCAATCTATTAAGTTATCCAAAACTTTTCCCTATCAAGGTGACAGGTCATGTTTGGTCTGAACCAAACATAACAATCCTGTCCTGTTTCTCAGTCCCCAGCAACCCAGAGTGGCCTTGTGACCTGTTCTGGCCAATGAGACCTAAGAGGAAATCTGGTGAAGGAGCCTCCCAGGTGTTTGCTTTACTGATCTGGAGGGATGGGCAAGGCTGACTTGGTCTCCTCCCTTGAAAGCAAACTTGATATCTGGATCTCTAGTAGCCCCACTGTGTCCATGAGGCCAAAACATGAGGAAAAGCAAAAGAGACTGTGGGATGCTGGTCCTGAAGACACTCAGCTGTGGAACCAGCGGTGGTTTAACTTTGGCCTTTTTATTGTGTGACAAAATCTACCCTGATCATTGTGTAAGGCATTCCCGGTTCCTCTTTCCCCTGCAGCCTAGCGCGTTCCCTAGGGGTACATTACCAGTCTGTGCGTTGCTCGAGAGCTGTGACCAGCAGGGTGTGGGCATTGTTTGGATGTGGAGGTGAGAGCAGGAGCAATGCCAAGGTGATGCCCACATTGCAGAGTGGGTAAGGGACTCAGTGTGGGCCAGCATGTCGGTGCCCAGGAGGGGCCGGGGCTCACATGTGGAGCTCAGCGGAGTGGCCCAGGAGACAGCCTTTGGTGTGGCTTGTGGTTAGGACCCCAGGGAAGAGCTGTCGGTGAGCAGAAGCGGGCCCGGTGGGACAGACAGAGGCGGAAATGCAGACTCAGACCCTCATGGACAGATGCAGAAACAGGAGGCAACTGTGATTCTTCTGGCGTCACAATTGGGAAATGGGATCGGGCCCCCACACACAAGGGCTCACTGCTGGTTGGGACCTCGGAGCCTCGTCTCAGTCCATGCTATCCCCTTGTGACCTGGTCTGCCCACATCCGGGGCTGCATCAGAACGTGGGTGAGGTCTTGGTCACCACAGGAAAGTGACTCAGGGGAACAATGGGCAGGAGGAGGGAATTCCTGCCCTCAGCCTCAGGGCACTCTGTGGCTGCCGGGCAACCTTCCCTCTCACTTTCTTCCCCTAGGAGGAGCTCTTTTCTCTACTTTCTCCCCAGAGGCTGTGTATTTCATGAGCCTTTCAACTGTAGCAAGATGAGGGAGGGCCCGGAAGTAACAAGAGGAGAAATGGCCCTGCACAGGGGTTGGCTGAGCAAGTTGGGCAACACTAACTGTACAGAGCAAGCTACTTCCAGAGTGAGCACTGGACACTTAGAATTCCTCTAAGATGATTCTGTCATTTTACAGATGAGGAAACTGAGGCACAGAGAGGTTAACTAGTTTACCCAAGGAAGTCAACAGCTGGAATTTGAGCCCAAGCCGCCTGGCTCCAGAATTTTCTCTCCAAACACTGCTACACTGTCACTGAGCACCCCCACTAGCTGTGGGTGGACTTGGACAAACCCAGGTCCCCTGAACTCCACTGTCCATTTGCAATCGTCCTCTTCTTAGCAAACCCTGTGTGGCACCAAGTACAGGGCAGACCCTGGGCTGAGTACCCTGAGGGGTGACTTCTGCCTGCTCGGTCCTCCCAGAGGACCTCCCTGAGACCCCTCAGGAGGGGCCTCTTTGTGCCACTAGGAGGTGCCTCAGCTTTTCCCTGGATGGAGGCTGCTGACAGGTAGGCTGAGCAGGGCAGACCTGGGCAGACACAGCTCACTGGTCAGGGCTCGGTTCCAGCTCTGTAAAGACAAATTCCAACTGGGCCATGGCCAGTGCGGACCTTGGGAAGATGCCTCTCTGCAGTCCAGCCCCTTCTACTCCCTATAAAGTGAGGACAATGGGAATACTGTCTTTGGATGGTCACGAGTGCCCATCTGTTGCAAGCACAACCTGAACCCCTCCTGGGCAGGGGTCTGCTCACATTGTGTCCCCAGTGCCTAGGAGGGCACTAGACAGTTCGTAGGTGCTTAACACACAGCTGCCACCTGTGTCCTCATATGACAGTGGCCAGGCTGCATGCAAGTGAACAAGGAGGCTGCCGGGGGGACCGGACAGGGACACGGCGAGCCCAGCGAAACTCTCCCCAGAGTAGCTGCTCCCTTGCTGGCACCAGGTCCTACTGGGCCAGGATGCTGGGCTTGAGATACATGCGCTAATCCTGAGAGGTGCTTTGGGGCCCAGAAGGGCAGGCCAAGGGCCGGAAGGGCCCTTAAAGGCACTGGCACATGATAAGCCCAGAATGTGGCTTAGGGATCAAACTCTCAGCTACCCCTGTGATGGCCCTGCCCATTGTTATGCCTTGGGGTTCTGGAAAGTTTGGGGTGTGTCCTCTGCGGGGGGCCTCAGGCAGAGCAAGGGGAGCCAGCTGCCCGGAGGCACTGGAAGTGCAGGGAGGCCCACGAGGGAGTGGGGAGGGGGGCGCCTCCCAGGGTCAAAGGTGCTGTCAGAGGGGCAGGATGGGAGGCAGGAAGCCCACAGTCCTGTGGGCTGGAACTCACATCATCTCCTGAAGCAGGAAGTGGCCCCAGCCCTAAGCTGCTGCTGCTTCCGGGGGAGTTTATTTCACTGTCTCCCCTGAGCACTTGTGGGGAAGAGGATCAGGAATAGATGACCTCACTCAGCCCCTCAGTGCCACCCTCAGTGGCCACAGGAGGTCTTTGTGATTCCCCACCTCTAGGCAGGCGCGTTGCTGCTCCTGCGACCTCCATGAGGCTGAGCCCTCTTTCTGACCTTAGGCCTTGGGAAATTCCTCCCCTGCTTCCCCTTCCAGCCCCAGGCTCCACCTGGGCCCCTCGGCTCCCTACCTGGGCCTGGCCTCTGTCTCACAGCACTCCAGTGGCTAATGTGGGCTCTTGTTCCTGATGCCACCTGCTGTTCCTATCCAGGGGACAGGAGCTGCACTCTGTGACCTCAGGGCCCCCACAGTGGGGAGTGCGGGTCTGGCTGCTGAGAGGTGAGGCCCAGTCCTGCCGCCTTCTCTGAGACCCAGGGAAATCCTGTGTCCTCCCCCGGGGCTTGGTTTTCCCGCCTATAAGATGGCAGCATTGGCCCAGAAGGATCTAGGACATTCTTCAGCTCAGGGACCCATGCATTAATCACTTTAGCCACATTTACCGAGTGCTTCCTTGGGTACCAGTGCTGCTTGTTTTATCTCACTGCATTGGCCAAAACAAAAACCTTTGTGGGTTTCCTTCTAATGGATAAAGATAATGGCAAGGAAAAAGACATAAAAACAAAACACGAGACTATAACATGACACCAGTAATATAAGGAATATGCAGAAAAGGCAAACAGAGCCAGGGGTCAGAGAGCAGACATAGGGGCTTTCAGGGAAAGCATCGTGGAGGAGGTGACATTTGGGCTGAAGGAGTGAGAAGGGCACACGCTGTGACCCCCTTTAACCAGCAGATACCAATCCCTTCCTGACCACATCTGGAGCAAAGGGCCCTGACCTGGACCCAGGACACCTGTGCCCCAGACCCTGCCACCCACACGGTGTGTGACCTGGGCAGGTCGCTCCCCCTCTCTGAGCCTCTGTGTCCTCATAGTGCCTGAGGTTGGTGAGTCACAAGGTCAAGGTTCCTGAAAGCAGTTCCAAGAGCTGCAGTTCTCAGCATCAGGTTCAAACTCAACCGAGCCTCCCAAGCTCTTGTGGGAGCGGCGGGGACAGAAGGGTTCACCTCTGCTCCACACCAAGGTCTGTGGGGAGCAGAAAGAAGGCCAAGAGGGGTGCCCCACACTCACCTCTCTGCCCGCAGCTGCTGGGCCAGGGCCATGGCAATGGGTGGTCCAGGAAGTCACCTCTCACTTCCTCCAGCCTCCCTGTGTCTGGCCGTGGCCTGTGGTCCTAGCAGTCTCCAGGAGCTGCCTTGGGGAGGCCCCACCCCGCCTCCTGTGGCCCTGGCTCAGGCTCCTCCTCCCCAGTCAACCCGAGCTCCTCTTCAGCCACCCTGGGCCTGCACTTCCTCTCTCTCTACCCATCTGCACAGCAGTTGGGGAAGTGGTCATTCTCCAGTGCCAGGCTGCGAGAGGCAGTGCTAGTCTTGGGTTCTGAGCCTCGGCGGAGCATCAGGAGCCCCCACCCTACCAGAGACCCAGTCCTGGTGCTTGCTTAGCCCCCAGGGGGTCTTGTGACTGTGGGGACTCACTGCCCATCCTCTGGTGCGTCAAACCCACCCCTCACTCCCATGCTGCTGAGCCTCTGCCCGCTCTCCTCCAGTCCCAGCACACAGGCTTCCCCCGCCTGCCATCCCTTGGACACAGAGGCCTCCTTGCTTCCCCTGACCTCTGTCATACTAGAGTGTGGAGGTTGGTTTGGGCACCTTACCCAGACATTCTGGGCCGCAGTGACCTCATCCCTCAGTCCCTGTGCCCAGCTTGTCCTTCCTCAGGGCTGCCAGCCACAGGGAGCTTTAGAAACCTGGTCACAGCCCTCCTGTCTCAGCCTGTCCTAGGGAGGAAGTCCATCCGCCTGACCCTGCAGCCTCAGGAGTCCCAAGGCCCTGTGGGCTTCACCTCCTCTGCCAGACTCACTCCTCTCCCGCTGCCAGGACCCAGGGCTGCTCCTCGGGGTCTCCTTGTGTGCTGCTCCCTCTGCTGCAAATGCCCTCTTCCTGGCCCCTGCACGTCTTGGCCTGCAAGTCACCTCTTTGGTGAGGCCTTCCTGGACCTGTCCCCCCCAAGTGAGCCCCTGCTGGAGGCTTTACTGAGGGGCTCTTCCAGCCCTGTGAAGCCCACAGCGCTTGTGTAGCTGCGTTTCACGACTGCTCCGCCGACACCCGGCCACCTGTCAAATAAATGAACAGCTCTGCTGACACACATGGCTATGGGACCTGCAGGAAGCTCTCCGGGGAGAAGGCCTCTGGAGGATGAGGACTATAGCCACCCCAGAAGCCCACTGGTCACACACGCTCAGATGCTCATATTCACATCCACGTGCACACAGAGCGGAAAGACAGCAGACCAGGGAAAAGAGGAGGAAGCAGGTGACTTTGACCTCCTTTCTGACAGCCTGGCCTGCTGCCTCGCTGCCCTAAACCCATGCTGGACTTGGTAAGGGCTCTGTGGGGACAGAGCCACCCCAGGGGGCTCCCCCCAGATCTCTCACGTCCCAGACAAAGGCAGTAGGACAGGACCCGGCCTTAGGACCCTTGTGGGCTGTCTTACTCAAGAACAGAGAGGGGCTGGCAGCCTCAAGCCCTTCCTCGGAAATTTGTCCTCGCTCCACCCAGCCACCCCAGGGGACCTTCTGTGCCGGATAGAGCCCAGGGTAGAGCGTGAGTGCCCAGGATGGAACCTGCCCTGTGCCCAGTCCACAGCCCTGGCCCAGTGAGGTCTCCCCACCAGGCAAGGCCATAGGTGCCATGAGACCAGCACCCTTCGGGGACTCCCTGGGAGCCTGACAGAGAACTGGAGGAAGTCAGAGGAGGGGGAAAGAAAGGAGAAAAAGGGAGAGAGATGCTCAACCAATAGCTGTTTATTGAAGGAGACATTTGAACCACAGAGGTAAATCAAGATGTCAGGATCAGCAGAAGGTGAAGCTTCCCATGATACTGCAACCACGTGAAATGCTGAGTACCATGATTTTAGGTATTTTAAGGATACAAATCCCAGCTCAAAAACAAGAATATGTGATTTTCAGGTTTTAAGAGAGAGAACAGGAATCTATACCAGCAAGAAGGGGTCACAGCCCACATAGCCCATGGGAATAGCAGGGGTTGGTACATGTTATTGGGCTGAGGTTTCTTGTTTTTTGTTTCCTGGGTTTTTTTTTGTTTTGGGGGGTTTTTTGGAAGTACTAAGGTTTGAACCTAGAGCATTGACACTGAGCTATATCCCCAGCCCCTTTTTATTTTTTATTTTGAGACAGGATCTCACTGAGTCACTAAATCACCCAGACTGTACTTGAACTTTTGGCCTTCCTGCTTCAGCGTCCCAGAGTGCTGGGGGCTGAAATTTTAATGCCTGGTTTGGGACCAGGTTCAGGATACTGGTCCTTCTGTTGTCATGAATTCAAACCTGAGCTCCCAATGTGAAGGTGGGTGTCAGAACCCATTACAGGAACAGAATTCCTCAGCTGTCAGCCTGGGATCACCACAGGAGTAGAGGTACCTTCCAGGCCTTGGCTGGAATAAAGGACATTACACCAGGCCAGAGCCTCAAGCCTATAACCTACACCGGTGCAAGGTCCAGATGTAAGCTGCCTGCACAGTGCAGAAATTGTCAGCTGAAGCATTGCGTAAAAACAATTTGGAGTTACCGAGCCTGCAGGGAGCTCACAGATCAAAATTGTGAATCACATAAAAAATGTGTATACCGTGATAGACAGCACACAGACCCAGCATATGGAAGAATTCACACCTGAGGAATTAGAAATGATACCAACTATGACTCCAACCAGGCCATGGCTACAGGAGGCACTCATGAACCAAGCAGCAATGAGACAGGCCTGTTCATGGCACCTGGCCATTGCTGACAGGAGAGGAGGCATTGATCAAGAGGATAGGAAGTGACAGAACCATTTCAGCAAGGAAGTGTAGTTGAGCACTGACATCGGATTGTGTAAACTATGAGTGTATTCTGTGTGTAGCTGAAAATACACATTTGTGTATAAACTCACACTATGTGTCGGTGAGCGTGCATGTGTTTATATTGTGTCTATAAAAGAACATATAATGCGTCTGATGGTGATGCTGTGAACAGGAAGAATATCTTTCGACATGAAAATCTAAGTGGGTACGTAATGACTATTGTCACAAGGATGTTTAGATGGAGTGTTCCGGGGGACACCGCTAGGTTCTCTTTGAATCTTTCTTCATTCGTCTTCAAAGATAGGCTTACTTAGTGGGGTTGTGGTAAAAATTCATGCAAAAAATGAATGAAAAATGCAAGACCTCTCGAAATTTCTTATTCATGTTCCTTGGTTTCCGTGTGTGTGTGTGTGTGTGTGTGTGTGTGTGTGTGCGTGTGCGTATGTCAGGTGAGATGAGCCCTCAAGTTCATGACTCCAGATTTCCCTAGATCTTGCCTCTCCTCAACTCAACCCCCTCCACCCCAAGAGCCTTCCTGTGACCTGATTCAGAGGCTGGGCAGCCACCTCTGCAGTGGGGGACATGGGTGTGTCTGTTCCCCTCCAGGCTCCTTCTCTCTCTTTCTTCTGTCCCTGCCTGGTTCTGCTGAATATGAGTATTTCTCTGGCTGCTCTCACACAGAGCACTGCTGCTAATTTTATGCCAGAACTCTGATATGGTGTAATTTGAGACCAGACACTCGGTCAGCAGTGGGCAGCCATCCTGCTGCTGTGTGGCAGTTCCTGGCCTTCTCCCCTGTCCCTTTGCCAGGTCTCCCATGCTAGGTCCCCCACTGGCTGCCGTCACTGCTGCAGGGGGCAGAATGATCCGGAAGAGGAGCCAGACTCCTGGCACATTCCCTAGGCAAGTGTCTGTCTCAGGGAAGGTACAAAAGAACACCTGATGTGACCTCTCCCAAATGGACAGCCAACTTCTGATAACCTCCATTCTCCATGCACATGAAAACACCATTGAGTGTCTCGAACTGGGAGCCCAAAGGCCACCATACCAGTTTGTACATTTGACTCCCAGAAGAAAGCACCTGGATCTCCCTTCCCATCAGGTTGCTTTGAGAGCACACCCCAAACTGTCAACTTTGAGATCTGAAGCAGGGAGTTGGGAGGAAAGAAAAGCTGCCAGCAGCAGTCAGAGACAGGCAATGGTTAAGTGACAGTCTAACAGTGACAGAAAGGATGGGTGCTGAAAAAAATAGACTCAAGAACTCAAAAGCAAATGCTGGGGAAAGGGCATCTCTGAGGGACAAGAGTGTTCATACTGATGCCCGTTCATAGCCTCCTTACAAGGGGCAGGCTGAATACATGCCTGGAACCTGAACCACAGATGGATGTGCAGATTTCGGGGTGCACAGCACCTTTCAAAGCTTCTTCATGGAGGTGCAAGGGTGCACAGATAGGAGCCCCATGTGGGGGTAAAGAAACTGCCTAAGGGCTCAGGGCATCAGCACAGGACCTGGAGAGGTCAGGAGCTCATTCAGAAACCAGCAGATGCCCGCTGTCTGTGTCAGCTGCTCTCCTGGGGAAGAGAAGGAAAATCCCTGATGGGACTGAGCAAGATTCCTGGGGATCCCTCACACACTGAATTCCCCAATCCTGGCCCACTTGTGTCTGCCATTATAATTTACGAGGGGAACTTCACTGGACCTCATCCCTGAGCCGTAAACAGGTAGCTCTGGCAGGCCTGGGACAGCATTTGAAGGAAAGAAGGCTGTGGAAGAAGCCAGTGAGACAGCAAGAGTCCTGAAGGCAGGGCACCCACCCTCCTCCTCTGGGAGGCAGACTGGCTCTGAAGCGCGCATGCCCTGGCTCTCCGACAGAGTCTCCTTGCTCATCTTTCTAAATGGTCATAATAACATTTGCCTCATAGGATCATCTGCTCAAAATGCATTAAGCACCTATTATGTGCCAAACACCTACTATGTGCTAGGCTCTAGATGATAATTTCCTTGTAATGATCTGGTCCTTCCCTTCTTTATCTCCCCTGACTTTGGTCCTCTTTGTCACACAACCAATCACATTCAATGCGGTTTTCTCACCCATATCTGCCATCCACTCTTGCCTCGCCCCCTTGTGGAAAAGCTAGACACTAATCACAGCATTGTTGAAAACCGAACACCAGGGGGCGCCGCAACTCAGCAGCCGGGCTCCCGCTCTGCAGCGCCACCTCGAGGATGGATGTGCTAAGCGCGATAGAAGGACCAGATCAGCCGAGGGTCGAGTTGTAAGCGGGCCAGGCAGATGGTTGCCTGCTGCTACCCATTGTGTCTCCTGGAAACTCCCATCAGTCAGTCTGAGAAGAACTCAGGAGAAGATGCCCCCGGGCTCAGGATACTGACCTTCCTCTCCTTCGGTCATAAATATGACAACAGCCAA